TAAGAAAAAGGAAGTACCCAGGACAAGTCTAGCTTTGAGACTGAGTTCTGCTCTTTTATCAAGACCACCAGTGTTTCTCCCTATCTCCCTAGCTTTGATCCTGACATTATTTTAAGTATAATCCATACGATAAAGGGTTATCAGAACAGTGTGAGGACTTCAGAGGGCTTTGGAGAACTCAGTGAAGATCTATAACTGATAGAGAGCAGTGTCCAACTTCTGGAACTTATATATTTACAACCTATCCACTCATTTCCTTTTAGTCTTCTTGCCCATGAGGCTAAGATTACTGATTTTTGTACCATTTTATTTATTTGCATGTCATAGCACCATGAGGGGTCCCAGTCACATGCTTGTGCAGCTACTAATCCCACCAGGTCTTCTTCATGTGATGGACTGTACCCTCAGAGAGCCAAAATGAATCCTTCCCCCAAATAGAAAAATTAAATAAGTAAGTCATCTGGAAGTCAGTATCAATCTCTCCTCTCCATGTGTACCTGGGTCTTTAGACACAGTCCAGGACAGTTTCTAGGTAAAAATCAGATTATTCTAGAGTGTATTGGAAACTGTAATCATGAAGATGCATGGCTTGATATGCTCCTGTTTTGTTTTCTTTTTGTAGTAGTGGAAAAAGAAAAGATTATGTAGACTAAAGTTGAAGTCCATGGGTTTTACTGTGTAGCTTTGTTTTAATATTCCTAAAGATTATTGCTTACTTTGTCTGAAAAAGAAATATCAGTCTCAATGGGTAGTTGATTGTGGTACTTGTTTAGTTTGTATTTTCTAGTTTTGTGGGACTAAACCCACACAGGAACTCAAAGAAATTCCAGTACAAAGATACGTGAAATAACAAAGGAATTCAGAGAGCAGAAGGTGTGGTGGGGCACCAAGTCTAGGGCTGGAGCCTTCCCATTCTAGGTAGCTCAGTGGTGGAAGCTTGCAAAGTTCCTCCTTCGGCGTGTTGTGGGGCTGACTCTTATGTTTTCCTGTTTATTCAGTCCCCTTACCTGCTGGCCTTTCCACTGGCACTTCCTCAAAGCTCGTCAACTAAAGTCCTCTAACTTGGTTCTGCTGGGGAACACCCATTGTTGGACAAATTTATGTGTTCATATTAAGAATGGATACTGCTTGGATTATGAATGGCCACTCTTCAGGTATTGGATCCATCCCTGTGGCAATCAGTGTTGACAAGGGGAAAGAGATAAGGAGTTACAAACATGGCTCTTGGAAGTGCCACTTTATCCAGCATGATGGTGGGAGAAGTTCCCACAAAGAAATAGTATGTGAAGGGGCCTGTGGAGATGGCTCAGGGGATAGGAGCACAAGTCTGAAGACCTGATTTCAAATCCCAGCATCCATGTACAAAAGCTAGGTGTGACCATGCATGTGCTTGTAACCCTGGAACTAAGGGAGGCAGAGACAGGAGGCTCACTGGGGAGTGCTGGCCATCAGCCTAGTTCCAGGTTCCAAAAGGAACCTTTTCTCAAGGAAATAAATGGCGGATGAAAGTTGATACCTAACGTCTTCTTCTGGCCTCTTTGCAGGTGTACACTTCCATGTAACACACATGCACATATACTACACATACATGCCACTCACACACACATATACATACATACACATGCACACAAACGTACAAAAAATAGTATGCTCTGTTCTAGTAAGGGCTCAAGTTTACACCATGCTTGAACTCAAATCCTTTCCCATTTTCTAAAAACAGTACTTAAGCAATTGACTTATTTTGTGTGTCTTAAGTTTTCTTGTTTGAAAATGATTATAATTAATAACTCAGAGGAGTGCCATTGAGTCTTAAATAACAAAACTAAACTACTTAGCAGTTTCTACCACAACTAAAGCTCTTAGTGAATGTCAGCAATGCCCGTATCAAGAAGAGGTGGGTAATACAAGTAAAGCTATTCCGTTAATAATAGGCTACCTCTTGGGGCTGGAGAGGTGGCTCAGCAGTTAAGAGCACTGCCTGCTCTTGCTGAGGACAAAACCTAGGTTCAGTTCCCAGAACCCACATGGCAGCTAACAACAGTCCATAAATCCAGTTCCAGGGGAATCCAACGCCCTCTTCTGACCACTATGGGCATTGCATGGGATGGGTGCATTTACACACTTGCAAGCAATATACTCCTACACATAAAATAAAATTAAAACACAATAGGTCACCTCTTTTGTGTTAAAATCGGCATTGGCTCTCAGGAAATGCTTGCTTTCTGGAAAGAGGGGACATTCTCTGTGACTGAATGCCTTTCTGCAGAAATAGGAAGTTGCCCCCTCATAGAGTCACTCTTAGCCCTTCTCAGTTGCCGTAGGCCCAGCTCATGCTGGATGGTGACTGAATACAGCTCCACCGAGCAGTGTAAAAGCATCTAAGATGAAGCCTCCTCTGGGGGTGGCGGTGTTAGAACGACTGCACGATTTCTTCTGATACTTCTTCATTAGGGTCTTGGGAAATCATAAGTTTTTACACAAAGGGAAACACAGTGCCCTGAAACCTGCGTGGGAGGAGATGGAGTGCTTGGTTTGGGAGGCGGAAATTCCTTTATTGTTACACAGTGATGCTCTGTTTATTGGGCTGTGTCTGACAATGGCCCATTTTATGGAAGTTAAGTTTATAGATAGCTGGAGTTTCCAAGTATCAGCTCTGAAACTATTTTAACACCCCCCTTTATCAAAAATAGTCCCTAAAATGCTCACATATGTCTTACTTTCTTGGATGAAGATGTGTGCTCAAAGCCTGATGCTTCTTGAATACTTTCTATGCACCATGCTTAAGTCCTTTACTCCTTATTAATTTGCACAACATCCCTGTGAAGTGAGCACTGACTAACTCCTGCTTTCCAGATTAGGGAACCAAAGTACAAAGTCAGTTATCCAAGACAGAAGTGGCAGAGTTCAGATTCAAACCCAATCTCCGCAACCCCTTAAGAAACTGTTGGAGAACATTTTGGTTCAGAAATGGCCTAAATAATTATTAGCCATCAAAGTAGGACTTTTGTAAATCTACACATGTATTTCAGAAATGTTCCATTATTCTGATGTTTGAAAAGGAATTAGTCTTTAAACCAGAAGCATGAACCTTGGAATATTCACAACTATTCCTTCCTGACTGTGGGCCTGTTGCATGCCAGGTACACCGGAAACAAGGAAACTTGAGATACATGACTGCCTTCAAGGGGGCCACTCTTACCAGATGCATCATCTGAGGCAAGGTGGGGAACTTGCCTCACTCATGATCAAGAAGACTGTGAGAAAGTGTAAACTTTTGAACCCAACCTTCAAGGAAGTCATCCTCTTTAAAAAAAAATTATTGAGGGGCTGGAGAGATGGCTCAGTGGTTAAGAACACTGGCTGTTCTTGCAGAAGACCCGGGTTCAAATCCCAGCACCCACATGGAAGCTGACAACTGTCTATAACTCCAGTTCCAGGGGATGCAACAGCCTCTTCTGTATAATTGGGCAAATTTGAGGTAAGCAAGCTGTGACAGAAGGTCTATCAGATGCAGCTATTGAGAGGAACTCATTATTAAAATTTTTATTGAGCCTTTGTACATTTCATATAATTGCTCTTAATCAAATGTAGACCTATCTCTAAATAAAGAGATAGAGGAAGACATTAGGAGATGGAAAGACCTACCATACTCATGGATTGGTAGAGTCAATATTGTGGAAATAACCATCTTACCAAAATTAATCTACAGATTCAATGCAATGCCAATTAAAATACCCATGACATTCTTCACAGAGCTAGAAATAAAATCATATGAAACCACAAAAGACCCCAGATAGCCAAAGCAATCTTGAGCAAAAAAAAAATGGGGCGAGGGGGGAGGATCACCGTGCCAGATCTCAGATTACATTACAGAGCTATAGTCATAAAAACAGCATGGTACGTACTGGGAGTCATCCTCTTGGACTTCATCCATTCTGTGTGAATGAAACTAGAGAGTGGGACCAAAGAATGCAGGTAGAATTAGATGTTTCCTTGGCTTCAGAGAGGCCATTGTGTTCAACAGTTCAAGTTGTCTTGCTTGGCCAGATGCTGATGGACCTTGGGTTGGACTGAAAACTTTGGTTTCTTAGATGATGATTTATGCAAATGAGAAGCAGGTAAGAACTCTATCTCTTGGCAAAAGACGCATGTTCAATGCAATTTGTTTCACCATGGGGTTTGTAAATGAAGTTAAATGCACCTCCAAGGGTAGCTCTATAAAACCATTGGATGCATTGTTGGCATCGATAGAATCAAGTGCATGGTTTCCCGTGGAGATTACCTGGACATAATTTCAATAACTTTTATTTCAAAGTAATGCATTAACAGAAAATACCCAGTGCCTTCCCTCAACCAGAGACAACGTAGATCCCACATCCGTGGCCCATCCTTTTGATCTCCCTTCTGTGAGTCACCCTCCTCCCACAGGGCCTAATGGACTCTCTTGATGGGTCCATCTGACATTATGGGTGCTGCTTATGCAGAGTGCTGGAGCAAATGTATGCAGTGATGGAGGAGAGCTAGTTGGTTGTTTTGAACCCTTTTAAATTAGGTCTCCTTTCTCTTTCTGTGTCACAGACTGACTGGTGGTCATGATGTCTGGCTGCTTTCCATGTGTCTGCTCATAACCATGCCATAGTGTTTTTCACCCTTGATTAAGTGCTCGGGTGCCTAATGACCAGTCTAGTCAATATGTGTTTTCAGAGTCAGAGTACACAGGCTCTGAGAGAGGACCAAGGAGCTGAATTAGAGTGTGAACTGCAGCTCGTTTCACTGCCAGGAAAGCATTACTTATCCACATAGAGATAATTGGATTTTGCTTTATTACTGATATCTAGCTAAGTGGCATTACTATTAGGGACACTTTGGTGAGAAGGGGGGTGGGGAGAAAGAGGGGAAGGGGAACAAGGAAAGATGAGGGGAAGGAAGAAAAGCAAAGCAGACCAGCGGGTTTGGGGGCACTCATTTTGAATCTCTCTTTTTGTGCTTACTGTTCACAGTGGGTTAAACTTCATTGACCTGATGGTACGACAAGGGAATATTGACAACCCTCCTAAGACTCCCCTGGTACCAGGATTTGAATGCTCTGGAATTGTTGAAGCTCTAGGGGACAGCGTGAAAGGATACGAGGTAAAGTTTTAAACTCTGGCATAAGGGCAGTGGTCACAGACAATCCATGAGACAGTAAGACTTTGCAAAAGTATATCTGAAACAATATCAGCCATGTTTTATTGCTATCATTTTCTTATTTCTTTGTTAACCATGTTTGCAATGATTGTCCCATAACTTTATTTATTTCCCATGACTTTTCATATATTGGTTGCTACTGGCAATGGACTGGAGGATTGGGCTAGACAGATATCATCATATTCTTTATTCACGTAATATAGCTATTAAGTAAGAATACTGAAGCCAGGCATAGTCGTGCACACCTTTAATCCCAGAACTCTAGAGGTGGAGGCAGGTGGTGGATTTCTGTGAGTTCAAGGCCAGCCTGGTCTACAAAGTGAGTTCCAGGCCAGCTGAGGCTTCAGGGAGAACATGTCTTAATAAAATAAAAATAAAAAAGAATACTTGGCATTGTGTTAACTGCATGTGCATAGTCCCTTACACCAGCCACAGTTCCCATTTTCCCACAATCTCAGGCTCAATAGTCAATTACAAGAAGTAGATGAAGTCACTTCATATTTTGTAATGTGGTTCCTTTAAATATTTATTTAGTTAATAACATTTAAGTGATCATGTACAAATCCCGAACTATTTCAAGAACGGGAAAAACAGGATTTTACTTGAGAAACATTTCAAATCAAAGAGGCTGACCCTGACAGGATAGAATTGATGATGGATTAACAGCTTTGGGAAGAGGGCAGTGGGTGAATGGTATTGAATACTCCATTGTTCAGTTTTCGTGAAGATGTGTAAAATTCACCATGATACGCAATTTTTTTAACTCACAAAAGATGCACGCATGACTTTTCCCTGCTGTTGTAATACAAGCTGAATTCAAGTTACTCTCTAAAACTTGAAACAATGAGCCAGCAAGATGGATCAGTGCAAAAAGGAGCTTGCTATCAACCTGAAAATCCGAGTTAGATCCCTGGGCCCACAGGATGGAGGAAGAGAACCAACTCCATCAAATTGTCCTCTGACTTCCTCAAGTGCACTATGACATGCATGTGTGTGCACATACACACACATGCACACACACACACACATGCACATGCACACAACAGTAATACATTTTTTAAAATTGAAACACTCTGACCACATCAGTTCCATAGAATTCAGGAGTTTAGAATCAGAAAATTGGCTGCAAATCAAGTACAAGAACTCTCAGTCCTAAGTTCTCAGTAGGGAGGTGGTTGACTGACACTTAAAAACACACCATAACCAGCTCCATGAGGGAAGCCACCTTTCCTCCAACCACAACAGAATTCCACCCGAATAAAGGTTACTATCCCCTCGGGTTCACAGAAATGCAGTCATTCTCTGGGAGGCCAGTAGACGTGAAAGCAGAACCCAGATTCAAGGCCACAGAGCCGTTTCACAGTTCCTAGAATCTCTTGGTCTTTGCCCATATGCCCATCTCCCAAATGTTACAAAACTACATGCAAGAATAGAAGGCTGACGATCACTCTGGAAGATCCAGTGCCACAGTCCTTCACCTTGAACTTCGGCCTTGGCACAGGCTCAGTACATCTGAGCATCTAACGCTGTCTGTGTCCTCTGGTCCCACTCTCTGGCCTCGTTCAGACGGAATGGATGAAGTCCAAGAGGATGACTTTCTTGAAGGTCAGGTTCAAAAGCTCACTCTACTCTGAAAATATCAAAGATTCCAAATTCATTACAATGAGTATCTGACAATTACATCCCACTTAGCAAGTTTCATCAAAGATTTCCAAATCATATAGTGGGAGAAAAAAAATCCCAAGAAAGAAGAAGTAAAGGGACATTTGCTTCTGTTTTATACAACTTTACATTCTCTGTCCCTGGGGAAGACTGGAAGTACATACATCTGTCCTTGGAAGTGATGCTTATAAAAATAGCATCTGTTCTTAGGTCCTACACGACGGAAGAGTTCGCACTGCTTACTCTGCTAACCCCGGGCACTGCGTAAATAGCAGTAAAAAGAAATGTTGCTAGACTTGATTCGGAGTAATAACTTACTACACTTGACTAAAGATACGTTTGTTCTTTAAATGTGATTTATCTTCTTCTAGTCAGCCTTGGTTTATTTACTATGAAGCCCACCTTTCAGTGTTTTGTCTTTGTCCAGTGATTTTCCTTTTCAGCCACACAAATAAAGAAAGTCTCCTAGATGTCTCCAGTGTGATACTGGAGAAAGCCAACCCAATATTCCCTGTGTAATTTCGGCTTAAGGTTCTCAATCATGTTGCAGATGAAATTCTACCGAGGAACATGCTCCACAGCTATCTTGAGGTGATTAGTTGCAAATCATTGAAAAGTCATTGCCAGAGGCCAGCAGTAAAGGAACAATTTGGGCTCATGTGTTCCGAGCTGATTTCTTTTTTGTTTTTTAGTAGAATTAAATAATGAAGTGAATTTGGATATTTTATACATATTTATACATACTTCATATATATGTATGAGTATATATTATATGTATGCTGATCCTTAGTCATATTTGTTATTTTGAGAATGAAATGAACGAATGAACGAATGATAGAGTGAAATTGAGGGAGAGACCTGAGAGGGCTCAGACAGACCTCCACTAGGAAGCAGGTTGAAATACTCAGTTCATCTCTGTCTACATGAACCCGAGAAGCTGTCAGCTGTACTGTGGTACTGAGTCTCTTTCTGGGTTTTCATGATTCTGTGAAGAAGAGAAAGCCAGTCCTGGGCTGTCTTCATCATCTGCTCCAAATGCTTGCATGGGAGATAATATCCTGGTATTCATTCATCACTTGGCCTTCCAGAAACAGAGACACAGTTCAGTGGGACAGCCTCTCTTCCGTCTGTTTCTTCATTAGGGAGCTGTGCCTTCTGCTGCATGGAGTCGAGTCGGTCTGTATTTACCATCTGATCACTGACCTGTGGATTCCCTGAGTTTGGGGAGCAATCTCTTCTTTCTCAAAGCTGTGCATGCACTCATTGCTCCTTCCTTGACTGACGTGGATTGTGCTATGGACACTGCGTGCAGATTTTGCGATTTAACCTTCGGAGGACCCTGTACTAATATTATATCCATTTCAGAGCTGACAAAGCTTTGACTAAAAGAGTCCAACAGAGCAGCACAGGTCCCCCCACTGTACCTTTAAATAGCTTTGTAGGACTTCTCTCAGGAACAATAGATTCATTATTAGGACCCAGAGTCAGAGTCATGGATCCCGATCCTGACCCTGTCACACTGTAACTCCATGACCTTTGACAAGTGATTTAATCTCTCTCTGTCTTAATTTAAATGCACGTAAACAAATTGATGGTCATTCATCTGTCGTGTGGAGTGGTGCCAGAGCCCATCTCAAAGGAGGTTTACTTTTGCTGTTGTCATTGGATAGGGGTAGGAAGGGAACACTAAGCTATCAAGAAAGTGACAAAAATTAGAATCAGTTATAAGAAAAAAATATGTAGAAACTAAACCCCTCTGCCATGAAAGCTACTAAGTTACTGGAAATTTACCCCGACTGCAGCTACTTCAGTACTGCATTTGGAAACTCACATAAGGAACTGATACTTCAAATATCAGAATGTTTTAATTTCACTAGCCTTTGGCAAGCTACTAATGTTACTTCACTTATTTGTATTCATCTTTAACAATGATAGGCTATTTTAAAACATGGCATTTTAAAGAGATTTTCCCCCTTTTCAGAGTGTTTGGCTAGGTCAACTACTGATCAGAACACACTATCCAGCCGTGCCCTCACAGGGTTAGTTAAAGCTTAGATGAGCCAAACCATGGTAAGTCCTGAGACAAATACCTGACATGTGCCATGTCCCATACATGTTCTTTGTCGCTTATCTCACTGAGCGCCACTCTGGTTTTACTCTAAGCCTAGTTCCTCTTGTTCATGCTCCTGTGTCTCTCCGATCTACCAAGTTTCGTGTGTCCATTGTGATCTGAAATCTTGTGCTGTGGTTTGACACAAATACGAATGAGCTAGACAGGCAAGAAGTCCATCTGGGGATGCAAGAAACAAAAGAGAGCAGACTGGACTCCTAGCTCTGTCCTTGGTGCTCAGGATAGCTTTAGCAGAATTCCAACCTGCCCGGAACCTCAAATACCCTCACCACTAAAACAGTGTAGTTAAATGACAGCTGAGTCTAAATATAACCTGACAGTGTCATTGTATCATGCACCACTCAAGTGGGGGTGGCATAGAATCTGGACTCCAAGGCCCCTAGAAGATTCTTATAGGGAGAATGCAAGGGATCCTAACACACCTTGAAGTTGGAGGCAGGGATGAATATGCACTTCTGAGGATGCTGTGTTTTGTGGGAAGGAAATTATGGTTTCCATGGGATTCTAACGAGAAAACCCTCCAAAATTTACAAAATTCACCAATGTTTAGACCTGAGATCTGAAATATGACTGATATCTCCATCAAAGTGGAGGTCCAGTCCTATGCAGTATTCAAGGAGTCCAGGATTATTCATGGGCTTAAGGGGGGAGGGGGGAGGAAGGCATGTGTGAACTGGAGTCACAGGTAAGTTTAGGCAAGGACACTCTCCCCTCCAGACCTCAGACAGGATTCAGGATGGGAGGACACATTCATGGCTAAGCCAAGTCCCCTGGGGATAAAGAAAGGAAAAACAAAAAGCAGCCACTCCTCCGTGCCCCTCATCAGATCATCATGGTGGACTGACTGCTTGTCTCTCAGAGCAAGCAGACCAGGCTCTGTACTGCTCCTGTTAGCAAGGTAGACCAGGGAAGAGCAAATTGCTTCAGTGACTCAAACGTCTCTCCTACATTGAGTTAGCTCAGCCCCCATCATGGATACGCCACAGCTGGAGCAGACCAGTACAGCTTCTCTTAGAACACTGGAGCTATGGTTCCCAACTGTCGCATCCACTTGAACTCCTCATGACACAGATCTGATAGGTACCGGAGTGGACAAGTGTACCCTTATAGATGCTGTGCCAGCCATACACTGAGGTTATAGCAATCTCATTCCAAAATTCACAGATCTGTCTGATCTTAGGGACCTTTATCTCTAAGCTACTGTGAAATCTCTTGGCCCATATCAACCTTTCTGCACATAAAAAATTATATTTACTATCTTTGGATCAGTGTCTGAAACATCGCCATCATGCTTTATGTCTTTGAATTAAAGCTTTATTTTCTACTAAAATATCCTTTCCAGATCAAGTTGCCTCCTAAGCTCTGGCACTCGGAATACTTGCCACTTGTAATTTTTCAGTGGATAGGAACAATCTGAAAATCTGAATTGTAATTCATTTACCTTGATATCCTCCATACCTGGAACCCAACACTGAGAAGGGGTTTAAATAGACAACCCTGACAGGAGATCATTGTGATATCATGCAAAGAGATATGGAAACAGACATTCCTCTGCCTGCATGACCTTAGGTCAGAGACTTACCCTTAGTTTCATCATATACATGGTAGAAATAATATCCCACAAAGCTGTCATGTAAACTAAATAGCCAAAGTAGAATGAAGATTACAGACGCAGATACGTTATTATTTTTGTTCAGTAAGTGGATTTTTCTGTTATAATTAAATGTGCAAATAGAAAAACCTTTCATGAAGAGAAATTCATCCCCCAGCTAGCCTGAAAGTTCACAGGTGCTTGGCTATGAGGGCTGAAGTTGCTTAAACGCCTTTAAGGAAGGACGGATGGTCCAGGCGAAGGATGATTTTGCAAGGAGAGAAGAAGGCTGTAAATCACTCCTCTGCCTTCATTACATGTGCTGATACTATCCAAGCCTCTTGCTACCACCTACACAGTCTTCAGAATTCAATTGACAGAGGCTAGGGATGCAGCTCAGTTGGTAGAGTGCTTATCTGGCATGCATGAAGCCCTGGGTTCAAGGCCTTGGTACTGAATAAAGCTATGGTACATACCTATAATTCCAGCTTGTAGGAGGCGGAGGCAGGAGAATCAGAAGTTCAAGGTCACTTTCAGCTACATATCTAGGCCAGTCTGGGATGCATGAGACTCTGTTTGAAGAAGGAGAAAGAGAGGGAAGAACAGGAAGGGACAATAACAAGGACAGAGGAGGAGGAGGAGGAGGAGGAGGAGGAAAAAAAAAGAAGAGGAGGAGGAGGGGGGAGGGGGAGGAGGAGGAGGGGAATTTCAGTAATAGAATGAATTCTCTTGAACTGTGGTTCTGGGCATGAAGTGGTAGGCAAGAAATCCAGACTATTGGGACTGGAGAGATGGCTCAGCAGTTAAGAGCACTGACTATCTTGCAGAGGACCCAGGTTCAAATCCCAGAACCCTCATGGTGCCTAACAACCATTCATAACTCCGATTCCAGGGGATCTGACTCCCTCTTCTGTCCTCCTAGGACACATAAAATAAAAATAAACAATTTTTAAAAATTTAAAAAGAAATCCATGTGACTTGTGAAACATAAGTGACAATTTCGTTTTTACTGTAAATGTATAAAAAGTTATTTCATCAAAAAATAAATAAGACTATGAAACTCAGGAGGATTAGGAGAAATGTTTTGTGTGTAGCATTTTCGAGGGACAGCTCCCAATAATTCTGGTCCCTTTTTGAACTCCTATCGTGAACTAGCCTCCATTAACCTTCTGTTTCTTCATTACCAGATTGGGGACCGTGTCATGGCATTTGTCAATTATAATGCCTGGGCAGAGGTGGTCTGCACACCAGTGGAGTTTGTTTACAAGATCCCAGATGACATGAGCTTCTCCGAGGCTGCTGCATTCCCCATGAACTTCGTCACAGCCTATATGATGCTCTTTGAGGTTGCCAACCTCCGAGAAGGGATGTCCGTGCTCGTGCACTCGGCTGGTGGTGGAGTGGTAAGTTGGCTGCTTCTGATTTGGCTTCCTCAAGGTCATGATGGTGGAAATGGAGTTGCTATGCTCTGTGGGATTCTTATGTGAGTTGGAGTCACTAGTAGGAATAATCTAGAGCTCTGGTGGTGCTCACATGGACAGAAAAACCATCATAGATTATCACTGTGGGGTTAGAGATGGTGTCCCCAGTGTTTAGGAAGATCTCTGTGATGGCAGGTGAGGACACAGTGGTCTCAGACTTGGTATCTGTAAAGAGGCCCTCTCAGCTGTGGCATCATGATGAAATGTTTTGTCAGTCTTTGGGAGATGCCTCACAAGTCATATCTTGCTGATATATGAAATGCCAAGATAGTGAATAATTTGCTTTTCAATTAGTTACTTTTCAATTAATTCAATTCATTACTTTTCAATTAATTGCAGTATCTTTGACACGATTAGTTTTACCTGTTAATGTGGCACAATGTAGAGTCACGTGGGAGGAGAGTCTTAATGAGGAATTGTCTGGATCGAGGTGGCCTGTGGACGTGTGTGCTGGAAAGCTTCAACTTGACATACCTGAGAAGAGGAAACTTCAGTTGGGGAATTTTCTCTATTGGCTTGGCCTGTGGGCAGGTCTGCGTGGCGTTTTCTTGATTGTTGAGTGATGTTGAAGGGCCCAGATCACTGTAGGTGGTGCCACCCATGGGCAGGCAGTCCTGGATTATGCAAGAAAGTAAGCTCAGCACAGGCCAGAGGAGCAAGTCAGTAAGTAGCGTTCCTCCATGGTGTGTGCTCCAGGTCCTGCCTCTGGGTACCTACGATGAGTTCCTGCCTGACTTCCCTCAGAACTGGAAGAGTAAGAAGAAACAAACTCTTTCCTCCCAAAGTTGGTTTTGGTCAGTGTTTTATCACAGCAATTGAAAGAAAACTAGGACAGCATGTCTTACGGGTTGTTACATCTTGGTTGTTAGTCGATGTAGGAAGACTCAGCCCACTGTGGGTGGCACCATTCCATAGGCTGGGCCCTGGTCTCTATAAGAGTGAAGAAAGGTAGCTAGCAAGCAAGCCAGGATCCAAGTATTTCTTCCCTTGATCTTGACTGTGGATGTGATGCTTACATTCCTGCCTTGACTTTCCAATGATAAAGGGCTGTATCCTTGAATTGTAAGCCAAATAAACGCTCTCTTCTCTAAGTTGTCTTATGTTTGGGTATTTTATACCAGCGACAGAAATGAGACTTGGACCCTATATTAGCATTGTTATCTACTTGTTTTATAGTATATTTTTCTTGGGTGGCAGAAACCTAGACAGAGAACATACTGACATACTGGGAATTACAACTAAATCCTAATATACTCAGGAGAGTGGTCATATATGCGGGGTACTTAGTGGGTCAACTTTTAGGCATGTCTTTGCCAAGAGGAAATAGGGAAATCAAGATCGCTGCCCTGGAGTTCAGGAGTGGCAGGTGTTTCGCCCGTGGTTTCAGTCTGTCTCAGTGTCGTCACCAGTGCGTACTGTACGCCCTCCACCTGGTGAGTGCTGCAGGCTTGTCGTGATTTGCCGTGGTATGGATAGAGCTCTAGTTTTTCTGAGCGTGTAACTCAACTCAACATATACTTATTAAGCACATTTAAATTCTAGATTCTGTGGATATGGAGATCCAGGAGGAAGGTGCTGGCACATGATCCAACAGAGTTTGAGAGAGTCCCAGAGCTGTGTTCCTCCTATTTGATGACCTGAGATGAGATCTTATGACTAAGTCTCTCAGAGATGTCACTGTCACTGGAGGTTTTGTTAATACTGTTTGGTTTTTTTTTTTTATCTTGACATTTTACAACTACAAAAACTTTCTGCAGTATAAAGCAAATCTCATCTGTGTGTCTGTGTCTGTGTGTGTGTGTGTGTGTGTGTGTGTGTGTGTGTGTGTGTGTGTGTGCTTGCCTGTGAAAGCCAGAGGTTGATATCAGGAGTCTACCTCAATCACTCTTTATTTCTTAATATTTGTTTTGTATGTGTATGAGTGTATTGCCTAAATGTACATAAGGGCACCCATGTCATGCAGTGCCTGCAAAGTTCAGAAGAGGGTATTGGATCCCAGGAACTGGAGCTATAAGTAGTTGTTAGCTGCCATGTGAGTGCTGGAAACCAAACCTAGGTCCTCTGCAAACGCAACTAGTGCTCTTAATCACTGAGCCATCTCTCCGGCCCCTCTCCACATTGTTTTTTGAGACAAAGTCTGCAACTGAGCCTGAGCTCTCAGTTTAGACTGGCTGGCCAGAAATCCCAAAGGATCCTTCTGGCTTTGCATCCCTGGTGCTGGGATTACAAGATGTACCACCACGCATAGCTTTTTTACATGGGTGCTAAGTATCCAATTCAGGTCCTCATGTTTGTGCAGTGAGCATATGCCAACTGAGCCATCTCCCCTGCCCATAAAGTACATTTCTGCTTGAATCCAAAACAGTGAAAGCACATGGAAGTTTAGCAATGTCTTCAGAAGAGATCTTCAATCACGGTCATAAATTTGCTGATGTCGTTTGGCCATGAGCAAAGATATAGTAAAAGCTAAATATCCCTTAGAAAAGAGATGAATTTCTGTTCCAGCAGTCTTCTACCAGCAAGCAAGTCATTTAGAATGTTGGCATTTATAGTCTTAGTGTGTTAGGCACACAAAGTACGGGAGACGTGTTTTCACATTATCAGCATTAGTGCCAGTCCTTGCAGTGGTGTGGGGACGTAGTCCTGCCAAGGGTCAACGTGACAGCTGATCTTGACTGCCAACTAGACTCGATCAGGAATCAACTACAATGCAAGCTACTGGGCACTCCTATAAGGGACTTTCTTCGGCAGATGATTCAGAGTGGACAGACCCACCCTCATTGTGGATGGCAACCCAGATAAAAGGGCATGAGAGAAGGAAAGCTTTCTTTGTTGCCTGCTTGCCTCTCCTGCTGGCAAGTTCGTCTGCCCTGTTGCTGCTTCTTTCCTTTGCTGACATTAGAACCAGGTTCTTCAGGTTTCCAACACAGACTGAAGACTAGCAGCTCTCCAGGAATCCCCCAGGCCTCCGGCACCAGTTTGGGACTTACTGAGACATCCAGCTTAGTGCACCAGACAAGCCAGTAAGCAGCATTCTTCCATGATCTCTGCTTCAATTCCTGCCTCCAGGTTCCTACTTTGAGCTCCTGCCCTGACTTCCCTCAGTAACGGTCTGTGACCTGAAAGTGCAGGCCCAATAAACCCTTTCCTCCCCAGGCTGCCTTTGGTCAGAGAACTTTATTACGGCAAGAGAAGGAAGCTAGAACAGTCGGTGTGCATGCTGTCTAGACAGGTGATGTGCCTCTGAGTTACATCATCCAACCTTTTTAAATGTTATTTCTTATTTTGTTTCCTCTTTTTGTTTGTTCTGAGAACAAATAGGAACCTGTGAGGGGCTCATGGCTTACATAAGAAATTCTTGAGCCATCACTATAGTATTTACCGTGCCTTTTTGTGGTAGTGATGGGCACTAACAGCAATAGCTAAAATGTGAATGATGTGAAGGGATTGTGGAAAAGGAACACTAGGGGAGCAAAATAACGTAAGGGGCGTAATGCAGGCTGCAGTGTCTCAGAGCTTTGTTGGGGTTGGACAACAATTTTCTTTCTTGGCTTCCTAACAGTGGGTTGAAAACAGGGAAAATAATCACTCATGTAAACTATTTTCATTTGATGGAAATAAAGCCATTTGAGAAAAAAATTGCAACTAATACTGGTTTGGAGAATGGAGGGCTATTCCTCTGTGGCTTCTCTAAAAGAGTGTGCTGGAAAGCCATGAACATCCTTGCTAAAGCTGTTATAGCAAGTACAATATTTCTGTGAAGCGTTTTCCTGTGCCATGCTCTGAAGGCTGTCTAATAGCATCAAAGGGAAATGAATCTAGAGAGAGCAAATGTGTTGGAGTCAAAAGGATATGGTCTAGCTGCCTGTTTGGACAGAGGTTGAAGGTGTGGTCGGATCGCCCATCTCTCTGGATGGAGGTTATCCTTGAAAAGCATTTCTCCCAGCCGAGATTGGGTAGGTAAACTGCTATGGTTCAAGGCCATCATTAAAGAAAAGATTTGGAGCAAAGTGCTGACATATATA